TTTTAAACTTTTTAGAAATTTTTGAAAAATTCTTTGAAAAACTTTTAAAATTTTCAAAAATATATAAACCAAAAATAATTTCATTAATTTTAATAATAAAAAAATTGAAGATTTTTTATTTCAAAAAATTTTGAAAATATTTAAAGTAATAATATATATATTAAATTAAAATTGATTAATAAAATATTGATTAATTTAGCAATCAAAAATTTAATTTATAAGTTATAATAATTTTGTTAATATGATTTTAATATTATTTCATTTTAAAGTTATGAAGTAATTTTTGAAAGATGATAAAGAGTAATATGCAGTCATAATATGATATAACTTCTTGGAATTTGTATTATATAAGGTCTTTAAAGTTCTATCTTTTTTATTAATATCAAATAAGAGAAAAAAATTGTGTAATATGTTTCAACAAATGAATCCAGGTTCAAGCTCTAGTGAAAATTGTACTTCAAAGCTCTTCAAAAAGCCCAAGAGTACTTCCAGTACCCCAGGTTGAAGATCAACATCTCAAGTTGAAACAAAAAAAAAGCCACCCCAGAAGCAATTAAAATCTTATATTTATATTTTAGAATCTTTACCTATTAGGAGATTGTCTGAAAAATCTTTAGGTATATTAAAAAAGATGTAACTATTTAATAAATACTAATTCATATATTTAGTTTCTAATATAGTAATCAGAAGGCTTTTGAAGTTCCATAAAATTCTTTATAAAAAATTGATCAGTTATTAGAATGTCAAAAAGCAATTAATAATAAAGTTATCCACCTAGAAAATGAAATTCATATGAGTCAATATTTAATTACCAAATAGTATTTTATCAAGATAAGTTTTAATTTTTTAATCTTTAAAAACTTCAATAATATTTTGAATTCTATAATAGCGTACAGACAAGAGTATTACGAAAGAAATTTTTTTTAAAAAATATATGCAGATTTTAAAGATTTTTACTAGTATATAGAGAAATATTTTCAGCAAGAACATTTAGAGTTCTTCGAAGGCCTCACAAGAAAACTTTGAAAGTTATATTATGAAAAGCATATTCACCAAGTAGTAATTATTGTAATTATTAATAATATAAATAAATTTAATAATAATATTATTAATTTAATAGCTTGTAAGACAACACAAATCACTTTGAGAAACCATGGCTTCAAAAATCTGGGATGCCATATTTTCAGTCTTTGACAAAAACTCCTTAAATATAATAAATACAAATGCAACCGCTATCAAAATTATGACCTAGAAAAAATTGAAAAAAACTCAGGAATTTTTTGAATATCTTCATGTTTGTTCTAAAGGGAAAAATCAAAGTATAATACTACACATTCTCAAAAAAGTCTGGTAAAAAAGGAATGTCTTCAAGAAACAAGTTATATTTATTATTGCAATATAACAAACAATTCTAAATCCAAGAAATAAAAGTATTTTAATTAATAAAGTGTTAATTAAAAGTAAAATAGAAAAAAATAAGATAAGTTTTAAAATTTTTTGAAGTATTATAGAGTCATTTATTTACTAATAATATATTTTAGAAAAAAATTAAAAAGAAAATTGGATTTATAGAAAGCAATTCAAGTAATTAAGATCAAGAAATGCATGAGTAGAAAGATATTGAAATTCAAAGTATTTCAGAGAAAGTAGAAAATGATAAAAATGATCTGGAATTGCAACTGGAGAATGTAGAAATACTTCGACAATGAGTGATATAAATGTAAATAATTAATAAAAATATGTAAAAAAAGTAATTTTCAATAAATAAATTTTTAAAAACAAATATATTAATAATATTGTGAAATTATTTTATTAAAATTTAAATTATTCAAAATCTTCAGGGTTTTATATATAAATCTTTGCTTTGAAAACTTCTAATAATAACAAAGTGCCTCTAGGGTTTTACATCTGAAAATTTTCAAAGATCTTTGCTAAAAAATTTTTTTGATAAGGTTTAATTTATAATTTTATTAATTGAAACTATTATGTTATTAAAATAAATAGTTTATATATATGTTATAATAAATCTTATCTATATAGGTAGCTATATATATATTTAGACTAATATTATATACAACTACTACTATTTCATTCCTAAACTGGAAGACCATATGATTTTATCTTAAGTATTCTTAGAATAATTTTTTATTTTAAATATTCTAGTTATCAGACTGTTAAATTCGGTATTCTGAATTCCAGTTTTTGATTCTTTGAAGTGATATGCAGATTTTCTTTCTATCAAGGCCTCTCAATAATTAAATATATGAAAAACAGCACAGCCATATATATAAGAACCAGAACTAACTTATTATAAATAAGTTTTTTTTATCATATAAGTTTTTATATCAAGTTATTTATGTTATAGATACATTATGTTCTTGTTTTTATTCTGAAAGGCATACTACTAATTTAGGAATCTACTCTTCTTATTAATATTTCTAGAAATGCAATTGTATTAATAATAATTCTATTCTATTTAGATTATAATCTGATAATAATTTAAATATAGACTGAATATTATATTTAGAAATATCAATTAGTTTATAATTATATCAATAGATTGATTTATTTCCTTATAAATAGTCTTGTATTTAGATAGAATTGAACATAGATCTTTTGATCTAATTTATGAAGTACTAATTACTATAATATTAACTTATAGGTTGTTATTTGATATTATTTATATAATAATATATAATTAATTAAATTATAATAATATAAATTATATAGTATGTATTATATTATAGTTTGTATTAGTTTCTGCAATAACTGTTTTTTTATAGATATTAGTTTTATAATCAAAATGATTTTATATTAATTTTGTTATAATTTATTATATTTTTCAATAGATATAAATAACTGAAGTCTTTTTTATCTTCCATAAAATATATTTTTAACAAGATATAAATTTTATCTCATATTAATTTGAGGTTTGAATCAATTGGGGGTCTTTTTCTAGCTTGTTTTTAATATTTTTATATATTTTAGATAGTAGAATCTTATATTTTGCTTAATACTAAAACTAACCAAGGCTGTATGGCTTGATTCATTATACTGTGATCAAATAGTAAATTTCCATAAGTTGTTTATGTACAAGTATGCATATGATTGATAAGTATGTATCTTGTACAATATAACTAATATTATAAAAATATTCTTTAGTATAGTTGAACTAATAACTCGAGAAGAGTAATTTGAAAACATATTTATTATAGTATTAATTCACAAGTTCAAATTTATGTTTATAAAAATAGTTTTTAATAAATTATTATAATATTATTATATAGAAAACTATTCTTAAATTTTGTATCTTTAATAATATTAAAAATTATTTTTGTCTCAATATAAAAAATTCTTAAAAACTAAAACATATATCTATAGTATAATATTTAACAATTATATTTATAATAAGAAAATAAAAATAATTTCAACAATTACATTAAACATTTTTATTTATATATTATAAAAGTAATAATATTAGTAATATAATTATTTTTTATTTGAAATTAAGAGAAGTTGCATAATAACTATAGCAACAATCTACTTTAAGTTTAGAAAGAATATTTCAATTATGATATACTAAAATTGATAATTTTAGAATAATATATATTATATAAATATTTTGAAAGAAACTTTGAGTAATTTAATTTAAGTAAAAGGTTTATTAGAGATATATAATAATAATAATAAAAGAAAATTTTGTAAACAAACTTTTGAATCAATTACTTTAGACAGCTGATCTTTATATAAATAATTGAATATCAATTATTTAATAATAAAAGTAACCAAAGTGATCAAATCTATCAGATTTGCCATATTAGTCAAATATATCATATCTGTCTACACGATGATTTGCTAATTTATATAATAAAAATATAATAATAGAATAAAAAAAAAGAAATAATGTGTGCTAAAAAGATTCTTACTCTGTCTCATTGATTGAATCTATCCTATGAACTAATTAGACCCTTGCATCATGTGTCCCATGATTTAAAAATAGAACTTGAGTGATACAATAAGCAAAATTATAATTAAAGAAGTATATAACTAATAATTAAGGTTAACAATACTATGGATGAAGTAAACAATAATATGCCTAATCCCTCGAGTTATAGGAAAATTTCCACGTAGGAGACGAAAGTTGGGGGCGATGTAGTTCACCTCCCTCAAAATCACCCAATGCGACTATACAACAAAGCGAATTCGCCTTGTCGTGCTAATCCCAATGAAAGTCGTTTATCATATTGAAATTAATCGCAATAGGTAATACCCCAAAATGTTGTGGCTCGAATGGTCCCCAAGTTAGATTATTCAGCTTAGTTTTTTGTTTCTTTAGAAGATTTACGATCTGAGGGATAGAGAGGGATGCTCATCATTCATCTTTTAAATAATCGATCTTATCACGAGTACAAAGATCAAAAGTTGCATTCTGGGTTCGATGCTTGATTATAATGTAATAGTTTTCCGTAAGTTAAAGGTTTATCGCTAAGTGAATTATTGATAAAAATGACCACGAAGTGGCCAAACAACCAGATTTTTATTTTGCAGAACAAATGAAATTGCAATCGCAAGAATATGGGGTTACTTGATGGCTTCGTCCTTATCCATAATCCGTATAAATGCTAAAACGATGCATACAAAAATAATAAAAATAATCTAGTTGATCAGACATGTATTTATACATTAAATTGATTGGGCAAAATCTGATACGCATGCATGTATCATAGTGTAATTGGCAACTTTATTTGAGCGATACGACAATCAGAAAATCAACAGATCGAACTTTATACGTGCATTTTATATTAAGAACATCATGTTATATAGTACATAGAGTAAATATTTTATTGATGTGATAGCATCCTCACTCTTTGAGTCGATATCTGATTTTCCACGACATGGCAGTCTCAGTTGTTATCTTCACGAAGCTTTAATATATTTCTGTTACAGTAATAACACAAGATTATTTAGGTCACATTATAAAGTAATCCGAAACTAACAACTCAAAAGAATCTTTCGAGTTCTTGAATTAATTTATCGTAATCCAGGCCCTCTATTGCTCGATAAATACTATCCCACACGTCTGACTTACTACAATCTTTCCAAAAATTTAATATCATTTGTGCTCGTTTCTTGATGTCATCATCTCTGTCAAAGGCAACTCTTTCCATTGATGGTTTGTGTAGCATCAGATAGAATGATCGCACAAAACATATCAAGTCAACTTTTGGCCCATAAACAATATTTTCCTCATTAGTTAGTGATTTCAGGACTTCATCTGGCATGCATTCAAGTGCTCCTGCAAATGCGGTGTCTTCGCGATTATTTGTACTATAACCCCAGTCAATAATTAAAATATTTTCCTTTGAATCATCTAAATTACGAAGAAAATTATATTTCTGAAGGTCCCTATGTACATATTCATATGAATGAACCTGTTTGAGAGTGGTGATTATATTATTGATATCTTTTTTTCGCAAATTATTAACTTTCTCGCCAAGAGGAGTCATGACAAGAGTATTCTCATCGTAAAAAAGAATTTTTGGGATATGAGGTGAACTCAACTCCGAAAGTTCTTCCAACACTGCTCTTTCTCTTTCAACGCAGGGCAAATAATTTGCCTTTTTCATCATTTTCACGGCCACAGATATGTCTTTATATATTCCTTCATACACAACACTAGTTCTGCCTACACCAATAGACCGAACCAGTTTTACAGTTTCTTGGCCAAATCTCAATGATGGTTCAACCCATCCCAATCTTTCTGGGGAGCTTTCAAGTATTGTTACCAGGTATCTCCACCCTTTCGAAGGACTCGCTTGCTTTTTGTATGTTAAGTATTCACTTTTTATGTAGTCATAAGTGAACTGAGTATATTTTTCTGAGAAGCTTTCATTTCTGCTCACCCTATATATATTGATGATGATACAATCTGTCAACACTACATACACATAATTCCGTCGCGGCTGAAGTTGGAGTATTTTTTCACCAAATGATAATGCATGTCCTATATCTGCATTGCTAAAGCTTTCACTAACTCGCTTCTTGATCTCACCGACGGCTACAACATTTAACGAATCCAAAGGAGAATCGCTCGGAATGAATACAAAATCTGGTTTTCGAGTATCCAGCAATGGTGAAAAATGTGTGCCTCTGACAATAAGTTTGTTTTGTATGCTTGCATAATTTTCTAGTGCCTTACATTCACACATAAAGTAATCTTGTACGTTTTCTTCTTTTGGATTTGCGTCCTTGTCCATATTAGGCGGTTGTGAAAACTTTCCAGGTGACTTTGCTTTGAGACTCCTGGTCAAATCAAGCGGAAACGGAATTTCAACACCTCTTTTTTGCACAAATTTACCTTTTTCTGTTTTTGTAAGAGTACCTAAACACAAATTGTTAATGACATTTCCAGAAATAGTTAAAAAAACTAGGCGAATAAAATACCTATAGCACTGTACCATGCATCTGCAGCAAAACGCATCCTCTTCAATTCACGATTCATCCCGTCCATTTTGAAACTAATTTCATCAATATGTCTTTTTAATTCTGTGAGATAAACGAAGCGTTAATATATAATCAACATTTTTAAATCATATCAGAAAAATTACATCGTTCTCTCATGAACGTGAAATCAAATATTGGTTAAATTTTGAAAGACGGAAATACAACAATAAATCAAAAGGTTAGACCTTAAAATATTCACTCGCGTTGACCAATTTATTACGACTCACCACCGGGTTGTTCTATGAAATGTGAATATGAATTTGGGGCGGGTTGACAATAAGAAGCAGTAAAGAAAATCACAAGAATAAATAAGTATTCGGTATTATTTGCAAATATCACAGAAAACAGCAAATTATCTTAGAATGTACCAATTGATGCCTCTACAGTGACTTGTAGAGGTGTGCTTGAGTTATTCTCGAAGCTCTGATCCACAACAAGCCCAGGATCTAAGTCCTTTTCTTCACCGTGTCTTCTTAAAGTAATCTGGTTAACATCCACATCACCTAACTGATTCGATAGTTCCTTCTTGATCGCTCTTATCAAATCATCCACATCTCTTCCGTCAAAAACAACTTTCGATGGTCTGCTGTCAGCGTACTTAACCCAGATTTTGGGAGTGGCTGATGAGGAGCCTATGTGAAAGCCCGCGAAACCTATTTCTCGCAAAGGTAATGAGTGACACCTCTACAAAAAATATTTATAATAAATTTACCTACCACTAGATAGCTCCGTTCTTAGGGGAGGTGCATTTCTAAATCTTTCGACACCTTTGCCTTTTTCGGCCGTACCAGATGTACCAGCAACAGTAGGTGAAACGTCCTCTACTGATGATATTCTTAATTCGATATAATGAATTGTTTCTTCACAAAAAATGCTCGAAAATACATATACTTTACCTGTAACTTTTTTTTTCTGAGACTTTTTCGGTTTTGGTGGCATCTTTTTTGAAAAATGTTACGAAGCACATTAACGCCTATCATGTACCACAGCCAATAAAATCGATTGTTGCGTCATATTATCCGATATGTCGAGGCATTTACTGTATATGTAGTAAGTAGTCTGGTTATATTTGGCAAAAAAAAAAAGTGCGAGAACGACTTATGAATTGTATTGATTGGTTAATTGGTAAGTTCATCAATAAGATTTCAGCTTTGACATTGTCATTCTCTCTTCTAAGCTTATTGATTTCTGCTGAGCTTAAAATTCAATTTTCTTAACAAGTCAGTAAATTGACTTTCAACGCGTCTTTAAATTGCATGTCTAATATTAATTTACAGTATATCATTTTGTCAAAATATTGGGAAGAATATAGAGTTCATCTTGAAGTTATTTTTGTATCAATATATATTCTAATTTTAAATAAAAATTGGTTAACATTTAAAGAAATTCTCTTGAAAAAGTCCAGTTACAAAAAAACTGCAATAGAAAAAATATAATTTAAAATATAATCTTAAATATACATTAATTGAAATTTTATTAATATATTAAGTACAAATATTGAATAATTTAAAATTAATTTTACTTAAAATATTCTATAATAAAATATTTTGTAATTTCTATTATAATTATTATTTTATATTTTTATTTAAATTCAAAAATTATATATGTTTTTAAATATACTATAAATTAATATTTATAAACTTAATTTATTAATTATATTTTAATATATAATTTATTATAAATTATCTACAATTGATAGGATTTTGTCCTTAGTTTCTTGGAGTAATAAAAGATACTATCATATATTAAAAGTTTTAATTCTTGAGTTTTTATAAATTATACTAAAATTCTTCTTGTTTTTAATTAAATTTTTTGAAAAAATTCTTATGGTTTTAAGTTTTTTTTTAACTTTTTTTTTATTTGTAAAATAAAAAATAATTATACTTTCTAATAAATATAATATTTTTTTTATCTCTTTTTTTTTTATTCTATTCTTATCTTAAGTATTATTTAGTTATTAAATAATTGATAGATTAATTTTTTCTAAAAAACTAATAGATAAATAAAACTTTTTTAGATAAACGATTCTTTAGAATATATAAATATATATTTTTTTAACTGGCTTAGCCTTGTTTTATTATTTTTTTCAAATTACATTTATACAAAATATCTATAGTACTGAAATGTATATTCAGCAATGGTAAAACTTGATAAGCTATGTGTTATCTCGTGATCTGTTGCTCTGCATTTTGGTATAAGAAACTAATATGCCAAGGCCATGCTAGTTTTTGTATAAAATGATAAGATGGAAAAAATATTAGTTTAGTATTTTATATACTCGTTTATATATCTGTTTATTATTTTGATTAAGTTTAAAAATAATTGTTATACTATGATTAAATATGTGTAATTTTAGGTTTTTTGTGTCTAACTCTTTTTGTGTCTCTTGTATTTAATTATTCCTTGTAGATTCTTCAGATCATAAGTTTCTTCACATTTGCTTGTTCATGTATCATATAGTAACTTCTTCCATTCTCTCATTACATTTATGTCTGTTTTTGTTATCTTGTTTTTGTTAGATATAATTGTGTTAAGTGTCTCATGTATTTTTCTTAGTACTACTTCTCAGATCAGTAAATTGAGAGTTCTGGGATTGACAAGTAGTATCTGTCTATAGACGATATTCTTGAATCTCTTTTTATACTTCTTTTTAATATATATTGATATGTATTTAATTAGGATTCTATAGAAATTTTTCTTCAATATTTCTATGTTGTTGCTACACAGAAAGGGTTGTGCGATATCTTCTACTTTTCCATATTTAAGTATTTGTCATCCTTATGTATAAGTGGATATCTATTATGTAACTTGGTTTTGATTAGAAGTTCTTCATATTAAAGGTTGAACCTAAATTTCCTCATGTGGTGATTTTTGTATAAAGTTATAAATTTATTAATTTTGGATAGATTTATGCTATTGAATATATACTTACAATTTATGTTTTTAAAATCCTCATCTGCAAATCTGTTTTATGTTCTATTTAGAAGTTTTTTTTTTTTTTTTTTTTTTTTTAACCCACTGTCAGGCTAGTTATGTGCGCTTTATTAAACAAAAGTAAACTATACATACATTTATATTATGTGTCGCTAAAGCTAAATCTATAACTAACTCACTCGTCTTTGTCAAAAACTGACTCTAAGTGCAACTTTGGGAGTGATTTGTCGCTCCATTTACAATTCAGGTGAAAACCCTTCCAACTATAAATATCATTGCCTGCAGATCACTACTGCAGATCCTCCACTTTAAGTTCTAACTGAGGTTAAAATCCCAACCATTTACTACCCGTCTTGATCCATTCTGATAATTTGTCGGATATGTTTGAGTCCAACTTACCATTCTCAAACATATATACTTGGCTACTTGGTGCCGGCCGGTTAGCAGTCGAGAGACCTGCTAATTTTTTTAGTTTGTCTTTTCTGTGGATTCCTTGACTTCTTTCCCATTCGATTAATTTCTTGCATCGTGGATTCCAAATTTCTTTTCGGATCTGGTTTAGGACTTTTCCTTGTATTTTCCTAATCCACCCCTGGATTCTGATTCCGACCTTCTTTCCCAGGCACTCGAGATTTCTTCCTTCTTCAACTATTTCTTGATCTATCAATCCTAGGCAGAAGTTGATAGTATCGTGACTCGTCCTAGATGCTTGATCCATGCTTTTTACTATCCAGGCTTTTAGTTCTATTTCTTCTTCTCTGGGGTTCGATTCTATTCTTACTTCTTGCTTTTCGGCTTCTTCTGCTCGCTCTTTTCTCAACTTCAAATATTCTTTCTCTGCTCTTCTTATAGCTTTATCCTGTATTGTTTCCATCTTTCTTTTATATCCTGGACATTCGATTAAATGTTCTATGGTTTCGTTTTGATTATTGCATTCTATACATTTTGTGCTACTGTATAGATCAGGTCTTCTCAAATGTAGTCTTGTGAGTGTTGGC